TCTTTCCCTTCTCCCCTCTTCTCTTTCCTCACTCTCTCTCCCTCCCTCTCTCTCTCTGTAGTCACCAATGGCTTTGCTCTCTCAATTTCAGCCTCATGGGTCTCTTCAGCTCAAAGCTACTAGCAGGTAATCGACTGCTTGCACTTCTCTTATTTGTGTGCATTTTTCTGTAACTTGCTCTCTCAATTTCTCGCACATTTTATGGCATGCCCACAAGTTGTTTGCATAATTGCGTCACTAGGTGTGTGGATTTAGCCTTTGTTGGATACGAATCCAGTTCAAAACTGGCTCTAGTCCTGTGGAGAACCTGATCTTGTTGGGGCTTGGCCCGGATCAAATTTGGTACAATCTCGAATCAAACTAAGCTTAGTCAATTATGACTAGGAATAAAGTTCTGGTGAGAATCACTCCAATGCGCTTGATCTCATTTGGCTGACGAGTTTGCTAGCTAATGCAAATTGGAGAACAAAGAGCCTATAATCTATAAATAATCTCCTTGGTTAATTCTCGAACATGCAGCAAAAAAGGTTGGAGACACAACTAATTGCTAATTGTTTCAACTTGAACTAGAAAGTGATTTGTTCGTGTGGTGATTAGATAGGGGAAGACTAATGTAGTCCCTCATACTGTCAAGATCAGTAGTTATAGTTCTTTATTATTGACTCCATCAAACTTCAATAAAATCTCTACATCTGAAGCGAGGCACTAACATAGCATTCACTTTCTCTATCATGAATAAAGTATCCCCTATTGTATTACTAACTCTATTATGGTACCGAAGCACTTGACTCGTGAATCTTTTTCTGGTTATCGATTTGTCTTTAGGCTTTTCCATGCTAGATTTAAAATGAAAATCTAACTCATCTTCATGTGTAAAATCTAATTCTTATCTTTGTAACTGAAATATGATTCATCCCTCAAATGGCAAGTGATAGGAAGTTGTATGTTATAGCTCTAGTCAAAGTATTAGAGCGATTAAGTTTCCATAGTAGTGTAATAAGTGTCTGAAGTAACAATTTTCCTTTGTTCAGTGGATATTCTTTCTTCATCCCCTCACTCGATATATACTGCCAGGCCAGGGTGTAAAGTCCCATATTACTAGTCTGCATGTCTATCTTTCCTTTCTTCAGATCATGTTGTGTAAATATATGTAACAAGAAACTTGCTAATATTGTTCATTTCTTGTCGCAGAAATTCAACTCGCACTTCAGGTGTAACAAAATCCTTTATCTACTCAGCATATATTTCATCAAGATTCCATCCACAATGCTTCAAGTATTACGGGGGAGGAGTTGGTAATTTAATAACTATCAAACCCACAAGGTTTCTTCCATCCCCTGTTGCATTCTCAGCGGACTCTTTGGAGTATGATTTTGGCGAGTGCACAACTCCGTTAGATGTCTGTGGTGATCATGGAACAGAGATCAGTTACATAGATTATTTACGACATATATTACACGAATCTGCAAGAGTAATATCTGTTGGCTTAAAGAACCATGAGTCATCTAGAAACTACGCGAAACTTTCTAAAGCATGGGTAGGCGAGGATGTCGACTCATGGCATGCACCCGTAGCGTATCAGGTAGAAATTCAAGCTAGATTTCAATAGGGTTGGTTTCAAAAAATATATCAATGTCTGTTTCCTAACTTCCGTGTCAGCAGGTAACAACTAGCAGATACTATAGCGATTCGCAGCAGTCATGAAAAAAATCTAAGAAATTCAACAGGCCTCTTATAAGCTTGCTTATACTTGAATTTAAAATGAAAAACAGATCTAGACTATTATCAACAATTACACTAATCAACTTATTCACTAGTCGTTCCAATAGAATGAAGCTCTTTCAAACTGTGTCTTTCTTGTTGTTGCCTTTTTCTCTTTTTCCAGGCAGCAGTCTATGCTTTACTTAAAGCTGTGTTGGAGCTAGGAGAACTGCTGAATGAAAAACATTCAGTATACGATATGTGAGACTTTTTTCATGTAATTAAATTTCCATTCTTGCAAGTTCATTAAAAGAAAAATTATTTACTCGTGGCTTTTTGTTCAGTCTTTCCCCTAAAATACAATTAATTTCTGAGTCTCTTGACGGCCAGTTGAGCATGAGAGATCCAAAACTGGTGAACTGGTTTAGAATGGCACAACTTCCTGATTTAGTTAAGCGTGTTACCCTTGTACTGGAAACATGTGCTTCACACTATGTGGAAAGGTTTGAACATGAACTCTGTTTTAGGGTAAACTTCACTAGAACCCCCAGAACATTTGGCATTTTTCATAACACTCCCCTGAACTTTGTTTTTCCCACTAAACTCTCAAAACTCCAAAAGAGGCTTAAATAACCCTCCAAAAATTTCAAAATTTCCCACAACACCCCTCCCCCACCGCGCGTGCGCCCCAACCGGAAAGAATACCACCACCAAACAAATAGCAAGGAGAAGATGCGATCGAAAAAAAAGGAGAAGATGTGACCCCATATAAAAGTAGGGGGGTTATTTGAGACTCTTTGGAGTCTGGGGGTGAAGTCGGAAGAACAAAGTTAAAGGTGGTTTTGTGTGAAATGCCTTCAAATTTTCAGGGGTTCTGTGAAATTTACCTTTGTATTAATGAATATATCAAGTGACCGATTATTGGCTTACTCATCTAATTATATGCTCGTATTTTTATGCACATTTGAGTTTCGTATATCAGGTGCATGATTTTTTCCATTTAAGTTCTGCTGTAAAGGATGAATAATGCTTACTAATTGCAAAAGCTTTCAGCGGCAGTGCAGTAAGCATTCTTGCAGTCAGTTGCTGTGTTGCTATTAAAAAGCTAGATGCTGCACGTATTTCTTCCCCTGACTTCACCATTTCCCTCCGTGAAACTATATGGGAACTTGTACAGTCATCACCTGATTATTCTTCTGTAGACATATTACACCATTTAGCAACCAAGTCAGGAGTAGAACATGAGTTCCTAAAGTTTTTTGGTCCGAAGGTTCTAGACCTTGATGCAAGAGGAGATATAATCTTTTGGATGGGACTGATTCAAGAGAAGCTTGTTGCAGCACTTTGTAGAGAAAGTGTTGTAAGAGTTTTGCAGCTCTTTTGCTGTTCTCAGGTTAGTACTTTGAATCAGGTCATATCAATGTTTTCGTCATTCATGGCTTCTCTCTTTAAATAAACAGATCTAGCATTATTTAAATTAATATAATGAAGAAAAAAAAGTATGTATACAATTTCTTTTACTTGATAATATAAAGAGGCCAATGTAAGGAATCCCTTGGATGGTTCTGAAAATTTTCTTGAAGTTTGAACTTTGTCACTAGGAGAGGCATTCTCTTGAACTTTGATGGCATATTCGCACTATTTGTTTGGATCACTTCTCGAGATATTTTCTCAACTCATGTTGCATTCACATTTCACAGGTTGTGGTAAGGGACCTCGCAGTTATAGGACTTTTTGCAGTTTTGGGGAGAAACACTAGACTGTTCTTAGCGAAAATGGGTATAGATGATCTAGATGAAACTGTCAAGGATTTCCTCTGGTTAGTCTCTATAACTTCTGATCAGGATAACTTTGTCATGTATTCTCTGTAAGTTGATTCACTACGTGTTAATTTCTTATCAAATTGCAGCTACTTGGAGTGCGGCATCCTTTTCTTATATCCTGATCTTTCTTCTATGTGTGTATATCAGCTGTTCATGGATGTAAGTCTCAATTCTTTTCATATTGGAATCACAGCATGGACTAATAATACTAACCTATAGGGCTTAGGTGATTCTATGGAGTACACATTCATTAGAGGAAATTTCACAAAACTTCCATCAAGCCCATTTTGCCATAACCTCCAACATGGTTAAAAACGTCACTTGACCCCCCAAAAAACCATGACATCTGAATTTTTTTCACTTAACCACCATAAAATTTGTCAATTTTGGTGGCTTTGTGACATTTCCAAACCTTTTGAGGTTATGTCAAAATGGGCCAACTTTATGGGAGGTTTTGTGATACTTACCCTATCCATTATGAATATCTGGGAGGAAAAAAGTTTTTCCTAAATGATACCACCGCAACTGTAAATGAACTCACACTTAATCATTGTTCTGATAGGTAGTTGCCGAGGAAATTGGGTGGCTCAACTTGTATGCTGCAGAATCATCCACAAAGAGCCAGGACAGAAAGAGACTGAAGTCACGCGCCATCCAAGCTGAAAAGGAGATTATTCTGTCTACTGTGTTTGGTGTTTGCTCAAATATGTTCTCAGGCTTCGATCATTATATTGATAAAACAGAGCAGTCTCCTAATCACAAAGTCAAGGCATATATTCAAGTTTGGTTAGTAATCAAAGCAACATCCCTCTCCACTAAATCTAGCTTTCTTTTCTGATATTTGAAGGAGACTTCTATTACGTTATCTTGCAGCAAGGGCCTTCTAACATTTTGCCTTGAAGATTATTGGGCAGTTTATGATAGATTACGGTACATCATTTTCTAGAAAACTAAAGAATTTTGGTGGACAAGTTAATCAGTACAAATTTGATTCTTCGCTAACACGAAATTTCTATGAATCAGTGAGTTGAGAAAATCTACTGAAGTTCAATTTCCTGAGCCAGTGATGCATACAGGGAACCTGACAGAGGTGATTTCATCTTCCCCAAGGAATGGGCTTCGCCAGAGGTGTGGAGACGTAAAGCCCTATGTTTCTGCTGAATGCATATTTCAAGACAAGCAAATTAAAAGCATGGTAATGTGTTTTTTCATCTGTTATATAGAAATTACATCATCAGGCAAAAAAAATAATATTATTTTCATAACCAGTCAGGTTTTTTAACGATTGTACCATTCTAGTAGAGCATAAGTTTCTTTTTTAGTACAGTAAATAGAAATTCAATTGTATATCATGAACGCCTAATTTTTTTCTTTTCTGATTTCTATCATTTCTGGAGTGTCTATAATGCTTGAACTGGGTTTTTCGTCCACCAATTTGTACAAAAAGTTGTATACATAATGATCAACATGATTGTTTGTCCATGAATTAATTATTGGATTTAGCTAGAGCATAGAATTATAGCCCTCAACTCCCACCCTTAACTTTCGAATTTTGTTGCAGTGTCAGGAACCTTTGACATTGCCAAGATTCAAATCTTGTTGGCTATGAATTTCTAAACAGGATTTAAAGAAAGATACCACTCTGCGAGTCAAGGTCTTGGCCCATGCAAGGACCCTCAACTTACGGGGACATATCACACTTTAAAATTATAACCCTCAACCCTCGCCGTAGCTTTGGAGTTTTGGTATAGTGGCAGGGACTTTGACAGATTTAATATGAGAATTTGAGAAAAAAAAGTTTAGAAATATACGGTTGAACCAAGACAGATTAAAGTAAGTCCCTCAATCCAAACGCCAAAGAGCCTCACCCACCCTTTGGCCGCTGATTTTTGGGAGAAAAAGAAACACCTAAATTAATTGTCGTTTTGGTAGATCCCTAATAATATTATGCAGTCCCCTAAGAAATTTGTTTAGCCCCTCAGAAAGGGGCTAAACCAAAACATTTTGGAAGGATTCAGTAGGAAACTTGAAGTTCAAATTCTAGGATCTAAACAGGGCCATGCAAAGCCTCATAGCTCATAGTTTCTAAAAAGTGATAGTTGCAACTTGCAAAACCACATAGCGCATAGCTCATTGTTGCAAAACCACATAGCGCATAGTTGCAAAACCACATAGCTCATGGTTTCACGCACTGAGATTCAAGAATGTTTTCAATTAAAAAAAAAAAAGAACAAGAAGAAAATAAAACGTAAACAAAAGAACAACTTTTGTAGAAAAGTTATTATTTTCTACTTTCTGAACACCTCTAACAGGTCTCTGTTACCATCTTGCAGCTGAGTTGCTCAGATAAGATCCTCGCAATGCTTCCTGAAGCTGCAGAGACAAAGCTTCGACAGAGTTTCTTTGCTAAATATAGCAGTTCACTATTGTCTTCAACATCTGTAAGACAAACAAAGCATTGTTTTAATTATACTGGAGATGTCCAATTGCGATTTCATTTCCATAGTACTTGACATTTGATTATTGTCACCCAGGACATCTGCATGGGATCTAAGATGCTCTTTGTTGATGTCATGTTCACAGTCCAGTTTATTAGGAAACAAATATTTGGGCAGACATTGACAAAGAGGGAGAAGAAAAAGATTGCAAGAACACTAATTGATATTGTTTGTGTTATCCCAATTGCAATACTGATGCTTCTACCGGTGAGAACATAATATTCATGGTTTTCTTACATTCACCATTTTAGTCTCAATAGATAAAAGACGAAATTGTGTTCTTCGATCCAGAGTTTTTCACTCTATCAGTCTATTGCCAAAACATACGAACAATATGTACTATTTTTTCACTATAGGGAAACTGATTTGTCTTGAAAGATGTCAGAAATGGTACTTCATCAGATAATGTGATATGTCCTTAAATTAAAAAGCTAAATCTTGATCGCATGACTAATACCAAATACAAATCATATGCCATGAAACCTAATTTCAAGAAGCATAAAACATTTTTCTTTCGCGTGCATCCCTTATGGCTATGTATCTGTGCATCTAATATATAGTTGGCGGCTCCTTTGCATTTATCTGATCAGGTAACTGCCATCGGCCATGCAGCTATGCTGTCAGCGATCAAGAAATACATCCCGGGCTTGGTAAGTGGCAGCATCTTTGCAGTGAAGTCACATTGAACTTTTTATCCTAATCAAATCTAATCATTTTCTATCCTTTTATGAAAATTGGCTTCTTGGATATAGATACCATCTCCATATTCTACAGAGAGACTGGATGTTATAAAGCAGCTGAAGAGAGCTAAGAGGATGAAAGTTCAGTCAACCAGTAACCTCACTCCTGCTTGCATGGCTTTGTAAGGCAAGCTGCTTGTAAAAAGTGGGAACTTCTGTGTACTGTTAGCAGAAAAGCCTTGTTTAGACTTTGTAATAAATTTTGTAAATATTTTTCACCCTTACTCGGTCTTGTCTGGAACAGTGATATCTTTAATACTAATAATTGATAGGCTTATTGTATAAGGGGGGCAAGGCACATTTTGGCCCAATATTATTTGTTGTTGCCCATGCACTTCTAAAATCTAGATATATAACTTTTCAAAAAAAAAAAAAAAATCTAGATATATAATCATGGATATATGTATATTTTTTTCTAACAAGTGCCCAGCGAGGAGAGAGATAGCGAGAAATGAATAGCAAGTAGGTGTGATTTCCTCCAGATTTGTACTGATTTTTTTCTTTATCTCTCTCATCTCTTATAACCAGCGCCCTTGGGCACCCATTAAAAAAAAAAAACTCAATTTTGATTCAATTTAAAGGGAAAATATACAAGATTCAATTTAAAAAAAACCCAATTTTGGTTTATGATAATTTTAACTCTTTGGAACCATCACGAATCCAATCATCAAAACTAGATTTCAATCCAAACCGACCCTTTATGCACGGAGCGGTATTATTAGGACATAGACCCGAACCCTACCCGCTTGCAACCCTAACTATTCCATGGCGCGTGCCGTACACGTGCCTTCCAACGGGCCCGTTGTCGCTTTCGTTCGGTCAGTGGACGAAAAAAGATTACCGTCACCAAAATCACATGCCCAAAGAAATTAAAAAAATGAGCAAAAAGTAAATAATATAAAAATAGCAATAATTTTTCCTTCAAGACTGCTTCCCCTCTTATTTCATCTGAGATCGCTCCTCTCTCTCTCAGCTTTTGGGTTCAGTTTGATATCTGCTACTTCTGTTCAAAGGAAAGCAAATTCTGGGTATTTAAGGTTGAATGGATTCAGGTAATGGACTGAAATTTTCTCACGATTTCCTCACTCAAAATCTGATTTTTTTTTTTCATCCGGGTTTTCTTTTTTCTGCTTGATTTCATAGGATTTCGTTATGGGTCAGGAAATTTTAGGATCTTGATTAGAAATATTGAGCTTGTGTTGATGTGTATGGAAGAAATCATGAGTAGAATTAGTGGGAAGGGATTTGAATTGTGATTAGGCTTTGTAATGTTTGAATTATATCATAGTTCAGTTGGGTGTGAAATTAGACCAATTTTAGACATTTTAGTGGCGGATTGTGTCCACAAACTGAGTTTATTTGGATTGTACTTGATTGTTTCTGTGTGAAGCTTGGGCAAGTTTGAGTAATTATAATTTCTTCTAAAAAAAAGTTACAATCTTGGGCACATACTTATGTATATATTTTATTGGATACTTATTAGATTGCATTTTCTGTGAAAGCTATAAGGAAACCAGATAACTGATTGCTATGCTTTTTGTTTATTTTGTTCATGAAACATGTATTATATTTCTCTCCTGATGAATCTTAGGTTTTGTCTCCTACAGAGGGTTTCAAATTGGAAATAAAGATACTTTGCCAGCCTGCTTGGAAATCTCCAAATCATGTTCTTATTTCTATGTGATTTGGTTAACTATGATTCATTGGGTTGTCTTACCATTTATTACAGAGTTTGCACACCGCACGATCTTAACTTGGGCAAGGCGTATATGTATAACTTTTACACTATTTGTAATTGACTTTGTTAATTTTTGATCAAATCTCCGGTCAATGGTTAAAATACTTGCCAGTGCAAAGGTGTCTAAAATCAAATAAACTACACGACTTTCATTACTCTTTTATTATAGGCTTCTTATTACTTTATGAAATGAGCACAATACTTGGCAGATGCAAACAAAGTGTAGCTTTACATATCTGCTGCACTTCTGAATGTACTTCCTATCAGAAGATTTGTTTATGTTTTTCTTTAGTATAGAATTGTATATTGCATTGCTGCAATCAACATAATATGCAGCTGATAAAAGATGCCCGTATGAAGCTATTTATGAGTCCAAGAACTTATATACCTAAGCTATATTTGTGGCATATGTTTATATGGGTTTGTTTTGTGTGAGTTTTGATTTCTGAAATAGAGTTGACATATAAATAATTAGTCCCTTTATGCCTTAGCGTATTACTTGTAATATGCTTCTCTTTTGTGTTGACATTTTTTTGGTTGATGATTTTGTCATTTGACTATTGATGTTTGGTATGATTTCGACACTTTTATTTATTGCGGGCATGAATATTTGTAAGGCACTTCAAAATATGCGTTGGTATTTTTTTTGTTATCTTCTTTTCTAAAGCTACTTTGATATATATACCATCCTTTACTTTATTGATGGTTTCATCTCTCATAATTGTATGAACCTAACTAGTTCTCATTGTATGTTGTACTCTTCCAATATGTGCATAACGCCATATACTATATTCTGTAGCATTATATGCTTTTTCTTTGGCAGTTTTGTCAATTGAATATATGCAGGTTTTCTTTGGAGCCTTCATTAATGACTTCAATCAAGTACATTCCATGCATACCAGTAAGACGGCATAAGAAATAGAGTTGTAAAAATCAATGTCCTTTAAAGTAGAGAGATGAAGATTGAACAAATAGAGTGTGCGCTTCAGAACATTTATATTTCTATTAACATATATATGCATTTTTCTTGGAGCCTTCACTAATGCCTTCAAGTTCATTCCATGCATCCCATTGAGACGATATAAGAAATAGAGTTGGGAATAAATATAAGAAATAGAGTTGGGAATAAATCAATGTCGAGAAAGGTTAAGATACAGCAAATAACATGTGCACACTACTACTTATGTATTTATATATACATGTATATGCAATTTTTACTTGAGCCTTCATTAATGCCTTTGAGTACATTCCATGTATGCCGATGAGACGACATAAGAAATAGAGTTGGGGATAAATCGATGTCCTTTATGAGAGAAAGATAAAGATACAACAAATAGAGTGTGCACTTTAGTGCATATATGTAGATATTTATGTATACGTGCGTCTGCATACATGGGTGTGCGTGTGTGTGCATGCATATGTGTGAGTGTGTATATCAAGAGTGAAGAAGATAAAAGAACACTAGAAGCAGACAAAGGTGCAGTGAGCAATGTGAGAAAGAGGAGAATAACAAGCAAAGACAAATTGTGAGAAAATTTTCTATCTGATATTGCAATTATGAGGATTGACACGTCGACTATTTAGTATCTTGATTTATTGCAAGCTTGAATTTGGATACATTTATATGGAGAATGCTGACCTATGAAGTCTCATTTTGTAATTATGGTGGTTATCCTTGCAGCTTTTCTTTCCATTTCTTGAAAAACAATTATATTTTGTATACACGTATATCCTTTTCTTTTGTTTTTCTGTAGTAACAGCGGTTGGTGTGTTCCTTCACGCTCTTTGCTCTTAGCTAGTATGTTGGTGACGTGGCACACGTCTAGACCCCCAAAGTCCAAGTCATCAACTTATCCATTTATTTTTTAGTAGTTCCTCAGTTACACATGACTAGTTCTATCCTATGTAGCACAGACACGGATCCGACACGGCCATCCGACACGCCGACACGAGGCAAATCCTAAAAAATACATAGGATACGTGTGTTCGACACGTGTGTCTGACACGGACACGACACGGCTTCATGTTATGCGTGTCCGTGCTTCATAGGTTCTATCTATATATTATTTTCGAGTAGTTCCTAAATATGGGCACTTTTTCTAAAATCTAAATTATGGGTTTTGGACCTTGCCAGTTGTTCCCAAATGCCGAACTTTTAACTGTGCTAGAAACATCTGGAACTAAAAATATAATGAGACCAAGGGATAATTAAGAAGGCATTCAAAGCTTACTTGATAAGTGTCCTTATGATATATCTCTTATGGACACGGCTGGCATCTGTTCTCCAAACTACTATACCATAGAAAGGAATTTTCTCAAGGGTTTATACAAAACTGTTACTTTGAGTTTGTGCTAAGATTGTTGGAAGCATACATGTTTCTTTACTAAGGAAAATCATAACAGTTAGTGAGTGACCAATTCCAGTTGGATGGCATTATTTAGGGATATATATTTGACTCAGCACTTTTCCTAAGAGACTATTTATGGACAAACATTTAGGCGTATTCAGCTAAGGGAAGTAATTACTTTGGGGTGGATAGTGGACAATAAGAACTTTGTTTTGACAATACATGTAATCTCTATTTCTTTTGTCTTTCTATGTATATCATGTTATTCCCTGCTAGATACATGCTCAACCAACTCTAAACTTCGTATGTATTCACAATTGTGTCTGCTCGCATTGAAGTGACAACTGGCTAGCCGGTGAATACAAGTGATGTCCCGTTAGGCCGAATCAGTGATGACCATAGGTAACACACTATAGTAGCTAGCATTAATTCTCCACTTCATGACTAGTTAAAAGTCCCGTAGGGTATGAATGAGATCAGTTTATGATCTCCAAGACTCACACAATGAGGAAGTAGGGAACCCTTCATTCACTTACTTATTTGGTCGTGAAGCACATGCTGAGCATAAGCAGTATGAAATGCGTGCTACACTAGAGAATCTTTGGCAATTCAGACTGTATGTCTTAAACTCTATAACACCGTACAGATCTTAGTTCCGTTGCATCACAAGCGCCTAACTCAAGATACTAATTTGCTCACTCTCAACAGCAACATATGAATTTCTCTCACCTGACTAAGGCGCCTTATGTATAGGTTTCATGTAAATGTGTTTATTTACGTTGGCTAGCCTATAGCATAAAGTGGTTACCAACAATGGCTTAAGTTTTTATGAAAATACAGTTAATATTTTCTGCATGTTGTCACACCTTATCACATAAGTATTACCATTACATTTATATGCAAACTTCGCTAGATCGCCACAACTCCGAATGGGTGATGAGAACTTCAACAATTTTGGATTGAGACATGTTTCCTGATGGATGATGGCGAAAGCAATGTGAATTACATGCAGTGCATAATCTATACATGTTTTCTTATCATTGGGAAAATGAATTCCTATTTGAGTTGATTTTGTATTTCTCTTTTTTGTTACACCACTACTAGTAATTCCTTTCAAATTTGTCAACAATTTCCTTTTGATAGATGTTCTGAATGTGATATTTGGGTGCCAATGCTTTTCTCATATTTTCATTTACCACTTTGCAGATGTCTTATTGCTCTCTGAAGATGAATATGTGTTTCAGTGAGGAAAAACTATAGAAAGTACTCATTAACCTAAAGAGGATAAGAACTGAGGTGCTTTACTGAAAAATGGAGGATGATAATGGGCTAGAGCTAAGTTTGGGCCTATCCTTTGGTAGATCATCTGGCAAATTGAAAATCAAAGATACTTCTTCAGATCCTAAAGCAGATGAAGGAAGTAATAATAAACTAACAAGTGACAGTAACTCTGTTGCCGACCCCTCTTTCAAGAACTTCTTCCAAAAGGGCACTGAGAACCAAGATCAAAAGGGGAAACAGAAGTCTGCTCCAGATTTGCAGCAGAGTGAGAATTTCTTTACCGACCTTGGAAAATCCTCTACTCCTGTGATGGATCATCCCAATGATGAGTTGAACAGGTATCAAGAGCTTTGGGACTCAAATAACAAAACAACAGACATTGAGGAAGAGAAACCAAGCAAGCGAAAGATGCCATTTGAGGAGATAAACTTTCAAAACAAGCATGAGAAGGTAGCTGAGTTCGCTGATAGACATGGTAAGAATCTTACCGGCGTAAATTTGATGAGAAATCCATATGTTCCAGTTACTACAGAAGATGCTTGCTCAGGTGTTAACGAGGAGGTTGCTGAGTCAGAAGCAGAAGGATCAAATTCTTGGTTGGTTTCACAGCAGGAAGAGAAATCTAAGAGCTCCGACATTCCCAAGTTTTGTGATAAGTATGTTGTAACTGATTCAAGCGGTAAAAAAGAGTTGTCTATATCAGGAAATGAGTCCAGTCAAGATCTTGGAAAAGTTGCATATGGGATTCCCGTGCTTCAACCGTTAACTGTGACGAGTGTAGCTTATCCAGTGCCTGTTACAAACACGGAGCGTCCTGTAGTTCAGGCAGCAAATACGAATAATTTGCAGCTTTCTTTTGGCTATTCGTCTGTCCAGCTTCCAACACTAGAAACAGGATCTTCATGGGCATTTAACTCTCAGCCTCGGCAAGTTACTTCACTTCTCAGTAGGGAAGGAGCACCTAATACACAGAATTCTGATGGTTTAAAGACATCTCATGGTGAACTTAACTTCTCCAACCTTCTTTTTTTGTTATATATGTCATCATAGTCCTTATTCTTTTTAACTGCTTGTTTCTTGTGAATCCCTCTCTATCTGCTGTTACTCTACTACTTTTAAGGTAGGCACCTGAATTCAATGTTATAATCATAATTATGCACATATTCCTCCTCTGCTAAACCTTCGTCTGCTCTCTCTCAGATCTTCTCCGCAACTTTACCTGCTAGCATCTTAGACATTTTCTTCAAATTTACTACTTTGCAATCAAGCATTTTTATTAAGGAGGGCGCCATCTAATATTTGTTTTGTGTGCATGCTCACTCCATTCAAGTTGTTTTACATCATGCAGTGTGGGCACAAGTTAAAAGTCATATGATTAAGGTCTCATTTCTTATGCATCCAAGTGGCTTCAAAAGAGGCATCTGAGAATAGCAATTTGCTTAGATCTATTTAGTTTTGAGTCATTATAAAATTGATAATCCAAACCTCTCCTCATCATCCTAGCACTTCAAAACTTTTTCAAGCAAATTTTTGCTGTGTTTTTAACAACATGGGCAGCGGACCTGAGAAACCTCTATTTTTTTAGATAATTGAATGCATACAAAGAAAACTCAGAATAAATTGATTTTAGTCTTAGATATTTTCATGTATGCATGCCCGTACCCTCTCATGCGTGTGTTTGTGGTGGATGCATGCATGTGTCTGTGTGCGTGTATGTACATTTTCTGTGTGTTTTCTCTTGAGTAACTATTGCATGTCAGATACAACCATCAAATTACACCCATGATCTCATCTCTTGTTCTTTCGGTCTGGCCATGTTCTGCTAGGTTATACTCATAAAATTAATCATTCCTTTCTGAGCATTTTATCGGACATCGTCAATGGCTTGAGTTTCTCATGGTTATAATTTTGCTTGAAGTCCTTCCTAACTGTTTTTTCTTTCTTTTCAAAAATTATTTATCATATACACTTACACAGTTTACATGATCATCCTTGGCTGCTTTTGGACCTATGTGGTTTCAGCTAATAATACTGTTTTGAGTGCAGGAACATAGATATGAAATTCATACTACATGAGTATCTTTATATTAAGAATATATACATGGGTGCATACGTGTTCAATTATTGAATGAGTGGATGAGAATTGGTCACCTCACTACCAAACACCAAATTTGTGCTTGGAACCATGCATACACACACACACACATATGTATATGTACACACACACACACACACACACACACACATATATATATATATA